AATGAAAAAGGAAAATACCGGACTAACTTTTCTTGATTTTTCATAAATTACCAGCAATTATTATTTATATTTATGAATAATGAATTTAAATATAAATTCTGTAATTTGTATTAATGTGTAATTAATTTCAGATTGATAATGATTTGTATACGGATGCGGATGCTCGTGATCGATATGATGTGATTGAAGCGGAAAAAACTTGCACAATTGAGCAATATCAATGTATTAGCGGTGAATGCATCGAAAGAGTGGCGCAATGTGACGGAAAAACGGATTGTTCTGATGGTTCCGATGAAATGCTTTGTCATCCGGTACCACAAAAACATCAACTTACAAAAACATCCACATTCAAACCGGTTACTTGTAAGTATCATTCTTTCATTTGCATTTTGTTTGCTATTAGATTTTTTAGCTTCTCATCGATTTGAAATTAGGACTTCCGGATTTCTTCTATAATTAATTATGGGAAAATTTGGAACAATGTTTCAGCTCCGAAAGGTAAATAATGGTTGAGCAAAAAGTTGATCTGAAATGGTTACACCTTAAAGATATAGATAATTTCTAGAAGTGAAAACTTTAATGCTAATTCTGTGAAATTTCTTGATTCAACCGGAAAATTAAACTGATTCGACCGGAATGTATATTTCAGTTCTTTTTCGTGTTATTTTAGATTTTCTACTTTATTTTACTAGAGGATTTACATTATAACAATCATATACTTTATGCATCCTTTCTATTTATTCTTTTACAATCATATCACAATCCTGGTTACTTTGATAAAACTACGGTAATCATTAATGTATCTATCTTTAAATCTATTAATCCTAATTCATTAAGCTCAGAATTTTTAGAGTGTACTAACTTTTTCCTTCTACTTTACAATATAAAAAGAAAAAGAAGAAAAGAATTGGAAATAGAATTGAGAAATAATTTCATTTCTTGTTACCTGATAATCATTTGATATTATTTGGTAATTATTTAAATCTGTATTTGAATTTATGAAATACTTTAAAAGGAGCAATTTTTTAAATTGAAATTCATAAATTTGATTCGACATAATTATGATAAGATGATAATCGTTCATTCATATTTAATAAATGAAAAATTAAATGAGTTTATTTGGATGAAACTGAGATAAGGATTGAAATTTTTTCAGCATATAAGAAAATTTATGCTAATTTTATGGTAAATTCTAATTTATATTATATGTTCGTATATTTATCATTCCTTATTTTCTCTTATTTTTTTTCTTTTCTTTTCAATAATTGTTAATATCATATTTCTTAATCCTTTATAAGTGGTGCCAAAATTGGTAATCCGTTGATTACAGGTGGTTAATGAGAATTAAAAATGTGATAATATAGTAGAAAGCGTATTTAAAATATGGTAATCAGTCAATGAGAATTAAAAATATGGTAATATAGTAGAGAATTAAAAATATGGTAATATAGTAGAGGATTAAAAATATGGTAATATAGTAGAGGATTAAAAATATGGTAATATAGTAAAGAATTAAAAATATGGTAATATATAGTAGAGAATTAAAAATGTGGTAATATATAATAGAGAATTAAAAATGTGGTAATATAGTAGAGAATTAAAAATATGGTAATTGGTTAATGAGAATTAAAAATATGGTAATTGGTTAATGAGAATTAAAAATATGGTAATTGGTTAACGAGAATTAAAAATATGGTAATATAGTAGAGAATTAAAAATATGGTGATGTAGTAGAGAATTAAAAATATGGTAATATAGTAGAGAATTAAAAATATGGTGATGTAGT